ACAGGAAGTATTCAGTCAGTCTTTCACTCTGTTGCATTGCAGCTATTTGCTAACATCAAATAAATAAATCTTTTTCCTCATGAATGCACACGCACCTGCCCATACTGACAGACGTTCCTGCAGATTTGCTGTAAAAGACAAACTGAAGTATCACACGGTCCAAGTATTCAGACCCTTTGCTGTGACACGTGTACGTAACTCAGGTGCTTTCCATTTCTTCTGATCATCCTTGACATGGTCCTACACCTTCACTGGAGCCCAGCTGTGTTTGATGATGCTGATTGGACCTGATCAGGAACGCTGCACCTGTCTATAACAGACCTCACAGCTCACGACGCATGGCAGAGCAGATGAGAGTCACGAGGTCAAAGGAAGTCTTGTAATGCAGACAAGGCCGGCTTCATCAGTGTGCCACCCACGATGACCAGGATAAGCCACAATGAAACATCTCCTGACTTATTGGGGCTGCCACTCCGGAGATCCCACAGGAGACTTCCCTCTTCTGTTAAAGGATTCTAGTTTAGTAGCATGGAAGGGTTTCTTTACTTCTGTGATGTTATGATGTGGAACGTTTAACCAGAAGAGTTTAGGATTCTCCAGGGACCATAAACACACTTCGTATTGATTCAGACAGCCGGTATATAATTAAAATAAACTTTATTTTCTAGACTAATTATAATACATGACAAAACTATTAATAATGTGATGTTTATCAGAACCTTTGTATCTGGAAGAAACTGAGTTCTGGGTGTAAAAGAAATGTTGGTCTGCCATAAACTAGAGTTGATTGTTAATAAAACAGCATCTGACACCAGTATGCAGGTCTACGATATCCTTGTAGGAGTTGCTCCCGGCGGTCCGGAGCGCTGCGGTCAGAGTGGTGAGGTCACTGGACGTCAAGACCACGATCCTCAGAGATTAGTATCTTCCTCTGAGTTCAGCTTCCCCGGCCATGGGATGCAACCTGGGGTCTGCAGGTTGGGTGTGCAGTAGCTCTCAAAGAGCTGCTGTGTCTGTGATCACTTGCAGCGTCGCGGCAAGGTTTTGACGTAAGGTCAGAGAGGCTTCGTTCCCGACTTGTCCGAATCGAGGTGTCAGCTGGAAACTGAATAACTTGGGAAGGCATCCTAGTTTTATCATTCCCATGTAAGGATTTCTGGCGAATCAGAATTTGACATGCTTGTTGACGTAACCAACATCCCTCAGAAACCACATCTTCCAGATGTTCTGTGGATAAAAATCTTTAAACTTCATGTGATGCGATTTCAACCGTAATTTTATATCTTATGAACATCGTGTATGCGCGCAGATAATGATCAACTTGTTAAATCAAACAGTACTGATCATAATATGTAATACCACTGTCAGAACAGTATTCACTTCATCTTCATAGATTTAGCACAGATTATTCAGATATTTCATTTAACCGTATTGTTCATTCTTAATTATTTTAACAGTTCACCTTTATTCTGTGAGAAATCTGAGGTAAGAGGTGAGCTATTGTCCGAAGACCACTTTGTTGACAATCTCGTGTCCTGCAATGTCTACAAGCACTGTAAAATCTTTCTTGGTTCAGAAGATTAGAAAACACACAGAAGTAGATTTATTCCTGTGGATTAAAGGGACACCATGTAGGTCAAAATATAGATGGAAGCTGACCCTTTCTGGACGTTACAGTTTACAGGTTAAAACAATCACATTAAGGGATGAATGTTTTATCTGAAGTGATTTAATAATGCCTTGACTGCTTCACAGTAAGGAATGAAGCAACATAAATGTTTATTATTTCAGATCTTCAATACACCAAACGAGACTTCTTGTTGAATTTAATAATGATTTGTTATCAGTATATTTACATATTAATATTACTATATTAACAAATGATTGTTTATCATATTTACTTCACATAAGGTGGAATAAGCCACTTCTAAGTGTTTAAGGTAGGAGTGGTGTCTGAGGTCGCTTGGTGAATGCCCAATCGACACTTGTTGGGTTCTGATTTGTCTAAATCTATAAACAACAGTTAGTAAAATGGATAACACTTCCTGTAAAAATGGAGTTTCAATGAGCTGAACAGTTGGGCCAGACTGTTACAGCGAGTAAGGAACTGACCTTTCAAGGTCAAACTTTCTTTGCAAAACTCCATCAGAGAAACAATTTGAAATGTCTCGCCAGCAGACCCTGAGCTTATCTGGTCTTGTCCCGGTCGTATCCATAGCACCTAGTTTCATCATCAATCCAGTATTAAAGGATCAATAATATTAACAATCCATGTTTTATGGAATATTACGTTCTTTTGAATACCTTCATATTCTATTGACAACTATTAAAATTGTCCCCAAATCCAGGTGTAAGAGACTTGTAGCATCTTAACCCAGAAGACTCGTGGCTGTTTCAGCTCAAAAGCTGCTTCTAATAAATACTCAACAAAGGCTCTGAGTACTTAGGCCCATGTGATCTTTCAGTTTGTCTTTCTAATACATCTGCAGACATGTCTAAATAGAGTTTCTCTGTCATCGTGGTGCGCTGTGTGTGTAATGGCTGTTTTAGACCAGTTGGGGGGGCTGAAGCACCCCTAAAGTTGTAGAAATCTAACTTTTATTTCTACGGTGTTTTTTAAAGAAACTTGTAAAATATGAAAGCGTGCAGTGCCTGATTGAAACCTTACATCTTATTAGCAAACCTCCCCCAGCCTCAGAGTGGTTTGATCCTGCTCTCCTTTCCAAGTATTGCCCAATCCCAACACTCGCCCTGCGGTCTTCAGCCAAGTGCACTTGGACAAAGTGTGCACTAAGGCTTCGAGTGCGTGGTGCACAAGAGTGAAAATAACAGCCAAATTGAGACAGGGAGCGCTGCGTCATCGACCGTAACGCACGCCAAGGTGCTGGTCGCTGTGATGACGTTTTTAGAAACCTTTATTAACGACTTTCAAACAAACAACCAAACAATTATTTGAAATAATCTTACATTCGTTGCTGCTTTGTCTAAAAGTTTTAGAGCATCAACTAATCATCCTAAAGTGAACTCATTTCATTAGAAAACAGAGATGTTCAGAAAGGGAACGGGAGCCTTTTCTCCCGCAGCAATGGATTGTGGGTAATACACTCCACCCAAGGTTGCATTGATGCAGACGTGGGTGGAGTGCGGATTAAGGGTGCAAAAGGGGCGTGATCAGCTTCCACACTTGAGAATCGGGACACGCTACGCACTCGCCCCACTGGTCGGGTGGGGTGTAGGTGTGTGAGGTGCCAGTGCGTAAGTATGAGTGTTGAGATTGGGCCTGTGGCTCTGAGCCTCTCTGTGCCACCCTCCTGAGTGGTTGTCCCCGTTTCACGCTTTAATCTTACACAAACTCTGAGGAAAAAGCACTGGCTGTCAATCCAGCATGGAGGCGGAGCCTTAAGGTTGGTTTATGCTTGACGCGTCCGCGAGGTCCGCACGGCTCCGCGCGGAAAAGTTGCATCATTTTAACAACCACGCCCCTCCACCGCACCTCCGCACGGCCCAAAATTTCCGCAACGCGCACCTCGGAAAATTTCTAACCACGCGGACGGTCGGACGCGGAAAAACATGGCCGACCGGCAAGAACTAGTATGGCAGAGGTTGGTAAATACAGACATTTGTATGATTCAGCTCTCAGAGATCACCGTGATCAACATGTTGTTAATAATTCTTGGAGAGAAATAGCTCGCACTGTCGGAAAAGACGAGAACGCTGTTAAAAATGCTGGAATACCATGTTGTAAACAGTCATTTCTACTTCTACTATGGTGTAGTGTTGGATGCATGCCGTAGAGCTCCATGCTGCCCCCTACAGTTTGGGAGAATATTGTCTCACCGCAGAGACGAGCCGCATGAACCATAAACGCTGCGAGTTGTGAAGCGCGTTCCATCCGCGAGCCGCATCACCGCACGGGAAGTGAATGCGTCAAGCACAAACCAAGCTTTATGCAGGTCTGGAGCGCGCACGGCACACGAACCACCGAGAAGTAAGGACAACAGAAGAGTGTGGTGGAGAAACCTCCTGAAGGCGTTGACTTGTGGGTCAGTGCTTTTTTGGGTGACTGACTATCCGTGTCATTGTTCCCAGTAATTAGACGGGTCCGGGCTAAGCTGGTTTTGTTGCTTCAGACCCATGCAAATCCAAAACCACAGTTATAATTTAAAAGAGTCCTTGATCTCTTATTCTTAAAATGCCAGAACGTTAGATCAGACGTTTTCTGAGGCAACAGTCAGCGACCTCTTTAAGCCGCTCCCTAAAAATCCACTATATGACCTTTGTTAAGATTTTTGATGAACCAGCATTTTGTTTCCATTTGGTTATAAAATTCAGGAGAACTAAAACTTGCAAAAAGACAATGGATATTTTTTCTATGGGATGTTGTATTAGTGGAAAATTAAGGAAACACACATAATATTTTAAATATTACGGGCTTTTTTCGTGGCAATTCCAACCAATGTTTACCTCGTCGAGCATCTTCAATCTGCTCTTTAGGGCTGCAACAACGAATCCATGAAATTCGATGGAGAAATGCATTGGCAACACTTTTCATCATCGATTCATTCTGTTGTAAAACTTCTGTTGTATGTGCAAGACATACAGAGAGATGACATTGAGTTTCAGTACACACAATTCAGAGATCAGACATACATGGGCAAGACACATGACAAGAATTGGTGACTGCGGTCATTCGCAACACGAGTCGCGCTACCTTAATAGATGAAAAGGGAATTACATGAGGGTAAATTGTGTGAGGGGAAAAAAGGCATACCAGAGTTACTCCTGGCAGGGCGTAGCTTTACTATGCAAAAAACCCCCCTCAAACATAAGCACGAACATCACAGTTCACAACATGAGACTCCGATAGGGAGGGTGGGGGGGGGGGGGGCGCTGGGATCCTGTTTCCCCAGGGCGAGCAGCCCTGTGTGGCACTCAGCCAGCTGTATCCACAGGAGGGAGGGAGATCTTGAGGAGCGCAGAGCACATTTGAATTTCCTGCAGGTGGATGGCCTCGCTATGCAGAAGTCCACAATCTGAAGGCGGGGGTGGGGGATGGGGGGTAGGACGGGTTTTCACAGCATCTGTCGGCATTCCTTCCTTCGTGGGGGTTGTTGTTAGTAGCTCAAGGCTGCCTTGGCGTTAGATTTGGATAACAAGACTTTGTTTGGGTCAGGCAGAGATAATTTTCCTCTCTGCCTTGAAGTCTGTATTGATCATTCAAGTCCTCCAGTGAAGCCAGTTTAGGTACTAATCATCCCCACGCCGTCCGGTGACCCTCTCCGAGATGACATCCATTTTGCTCACTAATACCGGTAACGCAGCAAGGACATTGTCCAGCTTACGATTCACCTCGAGTAACGTCCCAGTCTGTGAGGTCACCACCCGGGCGGTGGTTTCCGTGAGTGCGGGTCGCCCTCCAATCGCTCCCGTCTCACCAAATTTCCAGAAAAACCAGATATCCTCCCACTCCAATCAGAAGAAATCCAGTGATCATCAGGCCAAATGTCCACATATCTTCGACATCCTCAATGGACAGCTGAGAGAGGCAAACGATCCTCCAGACCTTCCAGGAATCGAGCGCATATCCTGCTGCGTGTGTCCCTTGAGGGCAAGTGGGAGCCCCCTCCTCCGTCCTCATCGTAGAAAAATCTTATCAATCGCGTTGAATGACCAATTAATTAAATCCATTTCCAAAAAATAGGGATTTCCAGAAGAAATGCAGGGAAGCGCTCTGTAGGCAGACGGGACAAAGAGCCTTGGGAGAAAAAGATAAGGGAGCAAAAGCAGAAGCGTCTGTACTCTGCGAGTGCCGGATTTGTCCCGTACAAATGTGACAATGAAATTGTGTTGAACTGAAACTAGTCCTGCCTCTCTGGGTGCTCAGCCCCCTAAACAGTTGATGCTAGATTCACCCCTGCTGTTTACAATAATGAGGAAAAACAACTTTAACAGATCTTAGCAAATGGCTGCACTACAACAGAGGGACGGGGTCACTGTAGGTGTGTTGAAGCTGTCGTGGTCTCATCAGAAGCTAAAGGGGCAGATGTTTACGTCCAAGAGCACCACGGCCAGTGAGTGACCGCTGGACTTGCCATATAAGGAAGAGCCACTCCCCCATCCACCGCTCAGCTCGGTCCATCTTCCTAGATCATCCTCCAGGTGTCCACCTGGAACCAGTTGGTGTTCCTGATCCTGCCTGCCGTCCTGCTGTAACACCAACCCTGTCAGAACACACCTTGAGCGCTCAGGTGTTACTAGAACTACCTGTGGTGTCCCGACCAGCAGCCTCTGCAGGTTAGAGGGTTTAAATCCTCCAGCAGAGCAGTGCCTGTTCTAGCCTCACCTATATGGGGTGTTTATTCACAGTCATGCGCTTTCCAGGGTCATGCTAATAACAACACACACATGCACAGTTTACAGACGTTATAGAGAACCCGTATGAACTGGTACTGGTGCCCGGGAACAAAGAGCTCAGTGCAGATCCACCTGTAGACCTCCAGATCACTGACATGCTTCCTGTTTGTAGCTAGGCTCCCATTTGTTGGAATAGTTCAGACGTTCATGGGTTCCACCTTTAGGAGCATTACTAACCACGGTTCACGGCTGTTGTGAAGTGTGGCTTCCTTCTCTGCTGTATGCGAGAGCGACAGGCGCTTCTCTGCACATGGAAGTGTTTGCATCTGGAAGCGTGAGCGTAGGAGAACGGCTTCGAAGCCGTTGCCCGGGTCCGTCGAACGTTCCGTCGCCCTGAGGTCAACCGAGAGGTTCTGTTCCCCAGAAAAGGGCCTGGATGTGGAGCTGAGGATCCACGTGGATCATTCCGTTTTATATGTTCAAGCAGTCATTTATATTTTATTATTGTTGTCATTCATAGAAAATACAATAAAAGTAATGCAATAGTTACTTTTCCTGGTCATTGCTTTCATGATGCTGTAACTCAGTTACTTTTTGGAAGAAGTAATTGGTAAATATTACTAAGTACTCTGCCCAGCACTGTGCCACACGTGGTAAGGACGTCTAGAGCCATCACCATTCTGGGTGTTGGGGGCACGATTCCCCTGCCATGTGAACCGGGCCTAAAGGAACCAAAACCAGCTGCAGAACATTCTGAGAAGCTCCTTGTTGACTGAGGTCCATCCTGAACCGTGGCATCCACTCACACAGCAGCTTGTGAACAGATGCACAAACACACAAAGTCAGACGACATCTCCTTGTGCTCCAGATGAGTTACTGCTCACTCAGCCAATGAGCAGCGTGAACACGAGGTCCGATCACTCTGCTGTGTGGAGCACTGATGAAGGGCATGCCATCTTTTTCCTTTTGTTCACGTCTTACTTTGGGCGGAGAGAGGGGGATGTTTGTATTCACACAGGTATGGTCTGGGGGGTCCACTATAGAAGCATATTGCATTCTTTATGGAACAGATGTGAGAAGTAGTTTTTCTAACAGAACTAATATTATGTTACTTTGGATCAAAACTAGAGGTGGGTGATTTGGCCA